AAGCTTTGACACGCAGACTTTAGTTTGGTCTCTTTTTAAAGAAGACACATGGCGGATTGTTGATATCACAAGAAAATTTGCTTTCTAAAATATTATTTTGGGGGGCACAATATCAAATGCTTCCACTAGATAAAATTTGCTCCCATTAATTTCCAATGCAGTCATTTTTGACCTCGAACAGTACAAGTGTTTCTTTTTTTTCAGGACCATTTAACCTTTTTGAACCATGTCCAAGTTTTGTGTGTGTGTGTGTGTGTGTGTGTGTGTGTGTATATTCACACAGCAAGTGCCAAAACCTTTATCAGGTTTTGTACTATTACAATGAAGTAAATAATTTGGTGATGTCAAAGAGATCGCATTCGTGACTTTTTGCTCTCAGTTGTTTCTCTAATGAAATCAAATGGAGACTTTCTCTAAAGTCTCCCACTGTTTTCCCAGAAAAAGACCTTAATTATCTCATTTCAGAGGAGATGAGGCTGATATGCATAAGGGATAGAACAATTACAAAAGAGCTTTCCTTAATATCTCGTTTTTTGTCTCCTATACAACAGTGAGATCAACTGGAGACTTGGGAGAGTTTCAGAAGAGATCTTAGAAAATTGTAAAATATGCAATCAAAACAATAAGTAAATATGTAAACAAATGTTTTATGGTTTTTCATTTTAGTCAACACCTAAACCCATAAGTTAGAAACAATCATAAAGCAGATCTCATTAATATCTCATGTGATGTCAAAGAGATCGCATTCGTGACTTTTTGCTCTCAGTTGTTTCTCTAATGAAATCAAATGGAGACTTTCTCTAAAGTCTCCCACTGTTTTCCCAGAAAAAGACCTTAATAATCTCATTTCAGAGGAGATGAGGCTGATATGCATAAGGGATAGAATAATTACAAAAGAGCTTTCGTTAATATCTCGTTTTTTGTCTCCTATACAACAATGAGATCAACTGGAGACTTGGGAGAGTTTCAGAAGAGATCTTAGAAAATTGTAAAATATGCAATCAAAACAATAAGTAAATATGTAAACAAATGTTTTATGGTTTTTCATTTTAGTCAACACCTAAACCCATAAGTTAGAAACAATCATAAAGCAGATCTCATTAATATCTCATTTGTTTCTTCTTGACAATAATGGGATCAAATATAGAATAAAGTCTCCCATAAACAAAAAAAAATTGCAGTATTTCTTTATTGCACAATACACATTCCTTAATATTATGCCTAAAATGTGTTCAAATGTTTTAATATCACTATTTATAAGGATTATATGATCTCAGTGTACTATCAGTCTTTAAATTCAAAGGTATACCTAAAGTATACTTGCAATAGTTCCACTTTAGTACAATCAAATATACTTCGGTATCTTGAGTTGGATTTCCACACAATTAAACTGCATTAAACACAAAATTAGTTGTTCCAATTTAGCAGAATTTAAGTATACCAAAAGTACAATTGCAGGGTATTTTTATTAAGCACATATTGACTGGCCAGCAAACTCACCAGACCTGAACCCCATAGAGAATCTATGGGGTATTGTCAAGAGGAAAATGAGAAACAAGAGACCAAAAAATGCAGATGAGCTGAAGGCCACTGTCAAAGAAACCTGGGCTTCCATACCACCTCAGCAGTGCCACAAACTGATCACCTCCATGCCACGCCGAATTGAGGCAGTAATTAAAGCAAAAGGAGCCCCTTTTCCACAACATTCTAATTTATTGAGATGCACCTGTATCTGCTAAAGCCCAAAATACATGCATTCCAAATTCATTATAGTATATACAGTATATATATATATATATATATGTGTGTGTGTGTAACCTTTATTTTAGATAACCTTATGAGAGAGGAATCACAAAGGAAATTGTGTTAATATCCAAGTGGTTTTCTAGACAATGAGGTCAAATGGAGACATTAGAGAAGCCAGTTTCCGCCACTGAATAAATAAAAAAGGTAATTGCGACTTTTTAGCTCACAATTCGGACTTTTGTTCTTGCAACTGCGAGTTTTCATCTCGCAGTCCTGACTTTTTTTTTCTCAGAATTGTGAGATATAAACTCGAAATTGTGAGTTATATATAGAATTGCAAGAAATAAAGTGACAATTGTGAGAAATAGTCAGAATTGCGATATAAATGTGAAATTCTGACTTTTTTTCTCACAATTGCAAGTTTATATCAAGCAAATCTGAGAAAAAAAAATCTGAATTGTGAGCTTAAATCTCCCATTTCTGTCTATTTTCTTGCAATCGTGGGTTTATATCACACAATTCTGAGGGGGAAAAAAGTCAGAATTGTGAGATAAAAAGTCACAATGACCTTTTTTAAAATTCTTTATTCAGTGGAGGAAACTGGCTTCCATAGAAAATCTTCCAATTTCTCCTGAAAAAAGGACCTTAGTCATCTAATTTCTAGAGTTTCAGAGAATATCAGAACAATTGCAAGCTATGCAATGAAAAGAATAAGAGACAATTTGTTTAATGGAATTTTTTAGATAACCTTGTGTGATATAAAAATCAAAAAAGGAAATCTCATTAATGTCTCAGTGGTTTCTTCTATCCAGTAATGAGATCAAATGGAGACATTAGAGTCCATTTCTCCTTAGAAAAAGACCTTAGGGGAAGTTGGAGATTTTAGATAGCACCTAAACCCACAAAGTAAAATCACAAAGTCACAAAGTAAATCACAAAGTACAATCAAGTACAGACTTTCTCAAAATGTTCCCACTTTCTCCTGAGAAACATACCCTAATAATCTAATTTCTAGAGTTTCAGAGGAGAAATGTCAAGCTTTGCAATCAAAAGAAGAGGTTATTTTAAAATAACCCTATGTGATAGAAACATTTAAAGGAGATCTTATTAATATCTCTGACAGCAATGAACAAATAGAGACTTTACCTAGGTTCTTCTGCATCTCAGATGTTTCTCCTGAGACATGTGTCTTCATTTGAGTTTCACAACAGATTCAAAAATGTCCCAAGCATTGCTCACATTTGCCAAGATAAAGTTTGTAAGAGATCTCAATACGAACTCAGACAAAATTCCCATTTAACCAAATGATTTGAGCTGCTCTTCACATTAATCTATTTGTGTTTGCAATTGACTCATTTTTGTCAAAAAGCAAAACTGATACTTTAATGAAACAAAGGATAAAGTCACTCCTGAGCAATGCATTTTTCACTTGCATCACATTTCTGCATTGCTTCGGGTTTTTGGTCATTTTTTTTCTTCTTTAGCTTTTGTCTTCATTTGGATACGGAACGCTGTTTCTTTTTCTGGTGAGTTAATGGGATGTGCTGTAAAAATCTGCCTTTCCAACGCCACCCACACAAACACTCGTACTGTAATAAAATAAACCATTTACTTATGTTTTCTGCCACTGGTTTCTGTCTCTTCCACTTGACTTGTGTTTGTGTCTACTGCTATTACAGATAACAGCCAGTCCGGAGTCTCGGTTTTACAAGGGTTTTGTTCAAATATTTATAGTAACTGGAGAGTTTGTTAAAAAGTGAATGATATGGCAGATGGTTTTGAGAAACAGGTACTAAAGTCACGATGTCATCGCTGGCAGTGTTCAGATCCTCAGTGGAGATTTCGCTGCGTGTGGCAAAAGAAATGTTCTGGATCATCGCGTCTTGCCTGAATTGATCTCATGAATTGTGCACTCACTGCGATTCTGCCAAACTAGGCCGTGTTCCTGCATCAACATCTGTGTTGGTCCTAGAACAACATTCTTATCAATCAGATTTTTAGGGACAGGCCAAAAGTTACGCTAGTTTTCAGTTTGCTGCCACGTCTCATGCACAGTTCAGTCTTATAGTTTTAAATTTGCTAACACTTTAGATTAGGGATGTGTACTTTATGTTAAACTTCTCAGCACATTTATTGGCATTTTCATGTTTAATGCAGGCGGTTTGTAAAGGTTATACATTTTATATGACATGTATTGAGAATGAAAGCTAAAATTATTTTATGGTCATTTTTGTTTAGAATGTTTTCTCCAGGTTTATCATTATTTTAACTTCAGTGTTATCAGGGTTTTCATTTAGTTAATGAATGTGTTAATAATGAACAAAAATAGAAAAAATAAACAAAATATCTAGGCATATTATGTGTGAATTTTCAATAATTTATTGGGTGCTTTGGTTTTCCGCTTACCACAAATTAGTATTTTTATTTTTTAGTTATTTAAAAAAAAAAATTAGGAGTATTCTAGCTTTTTTGTTTTAATTTGAGTATTTTAATGTGTTGGCTGGTATCATTTAAATATATTTATCAGTGCAGCACAATGTAGTGTTATTGATAATAAGTGGCATTTTTATGTTTAATACAGGTAGGTTTTATAAGTTTTGTAATATAGCGTATATCAAAAATGAAAGCTGTATAATTGGTGTCCCTTTTCATTTTATTTGAGTCAATCTTGGAGTCATGTATGTGATGTATTTTAATTCTTTAGTTCAGACAAAAATGTTTTCGTTTTAGTTTGTGTTAGCAAAAATAAACAAAATAGATCATTAGAAGTATGTGTTAAATACCATAATCCGGTCAGAGGGGTGGAGTCAAAAAGTAAGAGGCATTGATGATGTCATCCAAAAAGGGAAGTTGTTTTAGAGGCAGAGAGAGATGTTAAGAAGGATTTACAAAAGATTACAAAAAAATATTGTTTTAATTTGGAAAAAATAACACCAGGAATGCGCATCTGGCTTTCCACCAGATCAGCCAATTTACTCGCACGACAGTTTACTTGTTCAAAGGGTTACGCGGATAGCATTGCACGGTTCATTTGGAGCGTTTGGCTTCCCATAAAGCTCATAACTAAATAAAACAGGCTGTGTGATGATGAGGAAGGATAATTTGGCATACAGATATGACACACGTCAGCACTTCTAAAATAAACGGCTAAAGCAAAACACACTTAATAATTAATCTTTTACTCTCCAGTGGTTGCACATGTGCATCATCTCATAACCAAGCATGACCTCTCTGTCTCTCTTCCTCCTCCTCAGGTAACGCTTGTCAGAGCGGACTGGTGCCAGCGCTGCTTCGAGCTCCTCTGCCCAGTGTGCCACCCTCTCTGGGCATGAAGCACTTCCTTCCCTTCCCTCTGGATGGCGGCTCCACGCTCAGCCTCATTCCCAGCTTCAGCAGCGTGAGTCACACAAACACACTCTGTCTGGAGGTGCTAATGAGGTTCACTCAGTTCTCGCGCTGGTGGTCAGACACGCCGTCCGCCGTGGTTTGAAGAGAGTGTCGCTTGTGATAATTGTCATAAGAGTGCTGGTTGTTCTGGGACTGTTGGTTGTGGAGTGCTTTGCAGTGCATTCTGGAAATGTAATGCCAGCTGTTGTCTTAGGCTCAGGTTGTGAACTTGTGAAGATCATATAAACATCTACTGCATAGTCAGCTGGATGTGGGTAATGATAGATGTAGATCTGGCTTATGAATAATAACAACTAGTGCTAAAAGAAGAAGAAAAACTAATTTTCTTTGTTATTTAGGAAAAATCACAAAGGACGTCTATTGAATGTCTTGTTTGTTTCTCATAGATACCAGTGAGGTTACATGGAAAACATATGTGACCCTGGACCACAAAACCAGTCTTAAGTCGCTAGGGTATATTTGGAGCAATAGCCAAAAAAACATTGAATGAGTTAAAATGATCGATTTTTCTTTTATGCCAAAAATCATTAGGATATTAAGTAAAGATTATGTTCCATGAAGATATTTAGTAAATTTCCTACCGTAAATATATAAAAACTTAATTTTTGATTAGTTATATGCATTGCTAAGAACTTCATTTGGACAACTTTAAAGGCGATTTTCTCAATATTTAGATTTTTTTGCACCCTCAGATTCCAGATTTTTAAATAGTTGTATCTCGGCCAAACCATACATCAATGGAAAGCTTATTTATTCAGCTTTCAGATGATGTATAAATCTCAATTTAAAAAAATTGATCCTTATGACTGGTTTTGTGGTCCAGGGTCACATATCAGAGGCCTTTGCTTGGGTATTGTTCTGTACTGAATTTCCAAAGAGATCCCAAACTCTATGATATCAAAGGAGTAGCAATAAAAATATCTCAATATGATCTCAAATACTTCTCGTTAAATTCTCAAATAGATCTGAGCTTGCATTTTTTTTTTTTTTTTAGCTCTGTAGTTTTAGAAAAAGCATCTCAGACAAAATTGATTATATTAAACAAACCATAACTGAGAACTGCATTACTTCTGAGCTACAAATGAGAAACCTTTGAGAAATACATTTTCAATGTGATGCTAATCTGCTCTCCAACCCTGGTCTGTTCCCATAAGAAAAAGGTGTCAAAAGAAAGATATCTCTTTAATATCTTAATCATTTCTCGTAGACACTAATGATAATAAATGAAGAAAAAAATGAGAAGCCTTCTCTTTCTCATACTCCTTAGAAATACTGTTCCTCAGTATGTATTCATGTAACAGTATTCTAGTCCACTAGAATTCCAGAAAAGAACTCAGAAATGTCTCAAATTTTGCTGAGATTTGCAAAGATACCATGCTATCAAAATCCAGATCTCAATATGAACTTAGACATCGCTCATCAAATTCTCAAATGCTCATCAAATACAAAATTATGCATTTTGTTCATTGTAAAGCTTTCCACTCTTACTGGATGACTCATTTGTGTCTTTTACTTTTAGAAGAAACATCTGAAACTAAGTTGATTCTTAAATGAACCAAAACTGAGATCTCCATTATGTCTTCTGAGCGAAAAACCTCAGATTAAAAAAAAAAAAAATGCTTCTCAGATATTTCCTTATCTGAGAACCCAAAAAGAAATCTCACGTCTACTCTAGAATTCAGGAAGAGATCTTAAAAATGTCTCAAACTGATATCAAAGGTATCAAAGTCTGCTATGGAAAGTCAGAGATCTCACTATGAACTCTGATATTACTCATCAAATTCTACCAAGACTAAATTATGAATGTTGTTAATTTTATAGCTCTGTACTCTTACTGTATGACACATTTAGTCTGTTTTTACTTCTCATGGAATTGTAGAAATAAAATCAGAAACAAATGTTTTTATTAAACAAACCATAACTGAGCGCTCCATTACGTCTCCTGAGCTGTGAAAGAGAAACCTTTGAGAAATTAAATGTTTATCAGTCTTCAACTGTGTCCATTAGAAAAAGATATCTCTTTAATATCTATTGTTTCTCCTAGTCACAAATGAGAATAAATGGAGAACAAAATTGAGAGAAGCCTCCTACTTCTCAGATGTTTCCATAGAAAAAGACCCCAGAAATCAACCGGATCTCCTCTAGAATTCAGGAAGAGATCTCAACAATGTCTCAGACTGTGCTCAGATTTGCAAAGATACCAACGTCTGCAATCAAAAGCCATAAACCTCACAATTAACTCATTCTTCTATATACTGTGTCTCATTTGTGTTCTAATTTTTTAGAAGAAGAAACATCTGAGACAAATCTGACACTTAAATTAGTCATACCTGCAATTTGCATTTATTCTCCTGAGCTTTAAAAGAGCAACCTCTGAGCAATCCTCTGGGATCACGTTTTGCTGTGTTGCTTTGGGTTTTTGTCAGCATGAGAAATACATTTTTGTAAGATGCTGGTGTGGCACTAAAGCACTCATCAGCGCTCACCCACCCACAGACAGGCCATGTTGTCCTAAGACGGCGTATCGCTGGGAGGGAATTTGGCTGGAGGGACAACTGAACTGGCTGGACCTGCGTTTGGAAACTGGAGTGTGGGAATTTTTTTAAACATGCTGGTAACAGATGCATGCATGTGGAGCAGAGAGGCACAGTCATGCATCACAGAAGAGTTTAGTCATACGCACACACACACATAAATACACACACACTTTTTGATAGCGGTTCAGAGAGAGGCAGCAATGGTCGCCAAGGCTGACATTTGCTCTGGATCCCTAATCTGTATTTAACAGATTTTTCCTTCAATAATGAGTTGTGCATTGGCCATCCTCTGGAGCCGGTAATCTGATACTAGATTAACTCACAGTAATCTCTCTCTTGCTCACTCTTGCTCTTATGCTGTGTTGGCGAAGCTCGCTCTCATATTGAATTCCAGAGTTGGCTTGATCAGGGTTGTAAATGCGCTTATGTCCGGTGCGCTTTTACACGTGGCACAGATATAACAACGGATTTGTTTTTGCTGAAAATCTGCATCAAAATGCAGTGTAGATTGCATTGGACAAATTAAACTGGACACCTCAAAATAATATATTGACAGTAAATATTCATTACAACTTTCTATTGTGTTATGGAATGCAAACAAAAATTTAAAAATCTATAAATCATGCTTCTCCCATGTTTTAGGATAGTTTAGCCAAAAAATGGAAAACTTGTCAGAAGTTACTCACCCTTATGTTGTTTCAAACCTGTAGCATACTGCTAGCATACTATTTACTGCAATGCAAACTGTGTTTTATAGACTAAATATTAAATTTGGAACAAATTTCCAGCATATGTAATTTGGCAAATTGCGTGTAGTTATAATTTTGAAAATAAAAAGGGTTTGTGACGAGAGGGGCGGGGCCGAGAGCCGTGGGAACGGAGCGAGGAGCTCCGGAAGGATAAAAGGAGGAGTGAAGACAGTGTTGGACGAGAGAGGACCAGGCCTGGACTTTATTTTGTGTTTTGTGTGCGGCAGTCGTCCGTGAGGGGCTGCCGCTTTACTTTCATTTTGTGTTTGTTTATTTTATTAAAATCTTTAATGTTCGCCGGTTCCCGCCTCCTTCTTCCCGTGACTACGAACTTTGTTACATTGGTGCCGAAACCCGGGAGGAAGGAGGGACACGCTGCCAGAGATCCCTCGCCACTGTGGTGAGTCCGCGGTGCCATCGAGCTTGGCGGAGCAGTCTGCCACCATGGAGGCTCGAGGCGGTGGGCTGGAGTGAGTTGTCGGGGTGGGCGGACGAACTCGCTGGGCTGTGGAGGGACGGCTGCCATCCGTGAGGGAGCGGAGGAGTCTCCGCCGTTCGCCTGAGGCCGGAGCCTGCTGCCATCCGCCATGAGAGGGAGGAGCAGGGAACGGGGGACTCCTGCCGACTGCCCGAACCCGGAGGAGCCGTCGCCGTATTGTGGAAGAGCTTACCCAGCTGGTGGAGGGCCGAGCTGCAGTGTGTCTGGGAACCGGAACAAGAGTTTTTTTTTTCTCCCCTCTCTCCCCTCTCTCTTCTCTGTCTCCCCTCATCCTTCCGTCTCCTTTTCTCTCGCCTCGTCTGTCTGTCCTTACCCCCAGGAACGTTGCGGCCGCCATGATAGGCTCTCCCGGAGGGGGGGAGAGGGGGGAGTAGAGCGCAGTCTCGTGAGTACCCCCCCGGCCTGCGAGGGGCGATGGGGGTATGTGACGAGAGGGGCGGGGCCGAGAGCCGTGGGAACGGAGCGAGGCCAGTGGAGTAAATGCTAATGCACGACACCTGCGCCACTCACCGGTCTCGAGTCCCACGGAGGAGCTCCGGAAGGATAAAAGGAGGAGTGACGACAGTGTTGGATGAGAGAGGACCAGGCCTGGATTTTATTTTGTGTTTTGTGTGCGGCAGTCGTCTGTGAGGGGCTGCTGCTTTACTTTCATTTTGTGTTTGTTTATTTTATTAAAATCTTAAATGTTCACCAGTTCCTGCCTCCTTCTTCCCGATCTACAAACGTTGTTACAAAGTTATTTTGCATTTTTAATTCAATTTCGCATCATAAGCTATTGACAGTAAATAGAATTCTTGCTTTATAGAATGAGAATGAATTTGCAGCAAAACAGAAACGCTTGGTTGGTGCTGTTCTTTTTAAAGGGGTCCTATTATGCTTTTTCACTTTTTCAACTTTAGTTAGTCTGTAATGTTACTGTTTGAGCATAAAAAAGATCTGCAAAGTTGCAATGAGGATTACAAATTTTATTTAACAGAAATCACTTTTCAAAAACTACAACGAACGACTCGTTTGGACTACAACGCATATTTTCTGGGATTTGTGATATCACAAATATCGACGAATGGGACAAGACCTGGTTGAGCTACACTAGAGAAGGCAACGAGTGTTATCACTATGTCGGAGGCACGCTAGCTTTCAAAATGCAGACTTCCGCCGTTCGCCTGAGGCCGGAGCCTGCTGCCATCCGCCATGAGAGGGAGGAGCAGGGAACGGGGGACTCCTGCCGACTGCCCGAACCCGGAGGAGCCGTCGCCGTATTGTGGAAGAGCTTACCCAGCTGGTGGAGGGCCGAGCTGCAGTGTGTCTGGGAACCGGAACAAGAGTTTTTTTTTTCTCCCCTCTCTCCCCTCTCTCTTCTCTGTCTCCCCTCATCCTTCCGTCTCCTTTTCTCTCGCCTCGTCTGTCTGTCCTTACCCCCAGGAACGTTGCGGCCGCCATGATAGGCTCTCCCGGAGGGGGGGAGAGGGGGGAGTAGAGCGCAGTCTCGTGAGTACCCCCCCGGCCTGCGAGGGGCGATGGGGGTATGTGACGAGAGGGGCGGGGCCGAGAGCCGTGGGAACGGAGCGAGGCCAGTGGAGTAAATGCTAATGCACGACACCTGCGCCACTCACCGGTCTCGAGTCCCACGGAGGAGCTCCGGAAGGATAAAAGGGACTCCTGCCGACTGCCCGAACCCGGAGGAGCCGTCGCCGTATTGTGGAAGAGCTTACCCAGCTGGTGGAGGGCCGAGCTGCAGTGTGTCTGGGAACCGGAACAAGAGTTTTTTTTTTCTCCCCTCTCTCCCCTCTCTCTTCTCTGTCTCCCCTCATCCTTCCGTCTCCTTTTCTCTCGCCTCGTCTGTCTGTCCTTACCCCCAGGAAATGACGCAATATTTACACTGAAGCTTGCAGTGGTAAGGGGCATGTCATTTCCCGACCAGGTGCCGAGTGCTGCCAATCACAACACACACTGGCCCAGCTAACCAATCACAGCACATTTCGTATTTCGTAGTTCTTTCATTTGATACAGGAACTATTCGAAGCCGTTCATGCCAGACTGTGGAGAGAGGTGTTGTAATAATGTAAAATATGTGAAAAATAATGTGTTTTTCGAACAACCTAGTATGAGAGCCTGTTCTAGTACACCCCAAAACAAAATCAAGACTTTGTAAAAGACCATAATAGGACCCCTTTAATGAATCAATCAAACTAACTTGTGAATCGGAATGAATCAAATAGAGGAGTCATTCATCTGAATCATGAAATGAATTGATCAGATCAGACTGTTTTCCTTGCTTACCATGTTCGTTATTTCAAAATCTACATGTATTAATATGTTGTTGCTTCTGTCTACACTCATGTGGCTTTGTAACACATCAACAAAGCCATGCTGAATAAAAGAAAGTGTGTCGGACGTCATAATATGTTAGGAAACAAATATAGCCTGATTAGTCATAGTTTAGTCATGGTAGGAAACACTGGTGTTCACTCACCTCACAGAGTTTTGTGTCATGATCGACTTGAGCTCTTTCAGATGGAGCGAGAGGTTTTCGCTGTGTATCTAATGTGTGTGTGTGTGTTCATTCTCAGGGAACAGTGAGGTCAGATCAATAGCTGGCTCTCAGAGGCGTGTTAAACATTCACTGGTTCAGAATCGTAAACACAAAGGAATCTTATGGAATATGACGGCAGGGATTTTCCAACCCTAATATATGTTAACAGCAATTTTACAAGGCTGGAATGATGTGCACAGTTTTTTCCAAATAATATATATAAAGAAGCCTGTAATGTACACATGAAGCCATATAAATTTGGTTATATGAGAGCAGAACTAATTTAACATTAAAGTGACTTTGCCAAATTGATACGATGCATAGTTACAAATTACAAATACAAACAAAATAGGTTTATAAACCTTGTTTTCTTCCAGAGATTTTGTTCTAACTAGCTGTGAACACAACAAGCGATGCATGACGGAACATTTTGTCAGTCACTGAGGATGACTTGAATGGAATACTAGCATACTGTCTGGTATACATTTAAAAATATCATATATAATTAAAAAATATATATATCATTGTAATAATTTGATAATTATTCATTATAATAATTTTAAATTATTTTTTCCTCAAAATTTCTAAATACATGATAATCCAAATAATATTAATACTTGAATAAGAAAAAATGCTAATACTTTAAAATGGTATTATTAAATACTTAAACAATGTAGCTTTTATATTTTCAAAATTATTAAGATTTTAATTGTACAATTTATCAACAGTAATAATTTAAAATTATTACTATTATTTATATTAATATTTTTTATTAATACTTATTTTTATTTTTGTTGATATATGTAATAATATTCCTTTGAAGTTTATTTGTATAGTGCTTTTTAGGATATAAATTGTTGCAAAGCAACTTACAGAAAATTCAGTTTCTACAATATTTAATAGTAGCTTATCAGTGGTGACTGTCAGTTTATGTACATATGGCAGAAATGTACGGATCAGAAAAATCAATTAAAGACGAAGTAATAATATTTTGTAACTGATACGGAACTTAATAGGTAGCCACTGCAGAGACTATAAAATTGGGGTAATATGATCATTTTTTCTGAACCTGGTAAGGACAAGCTTCAAAAGACAAGTTGCTATCTAATATAACACCCAGATTTTTGACTGTAGAGGAAGTAACAGTACATCCGTCTAGTTGCAAATTGTAATCCAAGAGATTCTGTGTACTGTTTTTTGGTCCAATAATTAATATCTCTGTCTTATCTCTCTTTCTATATATATATATATATATATATATATATATATATATACATACCAGGTGATTCCTCACATTGGAAAATAGATGTTGAAGTCAAGTGCATTGCATTGTGGGATACTCTTGTGTGTTCTGCAGTAGTAGTATTCTAATCTAGACCTGATTTTGATGTTTTCCACAGTATTTCACTTTCACTGCACACAGAAACATTCTTGAACCTGCAGACGTGTGGCATTGTGCCTGGTTAGTAATACATTTAGACACAGTTATGACTCTCTGGGTTGTACTGCGATATAAAATGGGGCTACTAGGTCTGATATGAACGTTATGAAACATCAGACAGGAGTTTTTGGTAAGCATGAGTCGCAGGTGGACCTGGAATCCGTGTGGATTAAGTGTATTTGACGCAGATCCAGCAAGAAAAAGTCAAGCAGTGCTTTTAAAGAAGAGGATATATTAGGGCAGAAGATAATATCATACCAGTATTATGCATGAATGAGGCTGAACAGTTTTCTGTAAAGGCCCACGAAAATACCATTTATCTTTCCTGAGGCCTGCATTTGTCTGCGAGAAACAAAACAAACTCTATTTCCCCTGTAGAGAGAGGTCTGCACTACGCTATTGATTTCTCTGTGGAAAATTGCTCTGGAGTGGAGCGCTGGGAGTGGCACACGGGCCCCAGCGCCGTCCGCTCGGCCTGCCGTACTGCAACCTGTTTACTTCCTGAACACACAGCCAGACAGAAATGAAATCGCAAAATGGCTCAGTACTATTATTGAATCTCTCTACAAGTTGATTATCATGTGCATTTGGAAATGCAACATGTTCATGGATATATTTAGATGCAAATGTAAATGGTTTATTATTATTATTAAAATAATAATATAAAGCAAAAAAGATGTGTATATATATATATATATATATATATATATATATATATATATATATATATATACATACAGTATACTCACACAAACACACAAACAAAATATTATATATATACATACAGTATACTCACACATACATATAAATGAAATATTAATACATATTGAATATTTTATGCCAATATTTTATTGTAACATAATTACTTTAAACTTTTATCACATACTTTATCATTTTCAACTAATTATAAAAGACACGCACACGCACGCACACACACACACACACGCGCGCACACACACACACACATACACATGTTTACTTAGCTATCTAAATGGGGACATTCCATAGGCGTAATGGTTTTTATGCTGTACAAACTGTATATTCTATCACCCTACACCTAAACCTACCCCTTACAGGAAACTTTCTGCATTTTTACAACTTAAAAAAAACTTTGTTTACTTTATTTTTATGCCAGTTTTACAAATGAGGACATGCCCAGAGGGAGGTTTTTGGATATTTTGTCATGTTTAGCTCACTTTTGGGTACAAATTTGTCCCCAAAATATGGTTAAGTAGG